ATTTTGCAGTCAAACTGTTTTCAATGCTCTGTAACAGATGTGCTCAATCAGATAATGCTGCATGTAAAAGTGTGTAGTTGCACGCAATCGATCTCCTTCATCCTGTGCTTTCTGCTCGTGTGATTGACAGGACAGTGTGGCAGTCGGGGCTGCCCCGACAATGGCTGCTTTACTGCCAGCAGAGCCACATGTCATTAACACACTGGCACTGTTTTGTCTCAAACATCTCAGAGCTCTCTCTCAGCTAACGGCAATGCTGAAACCAGGCTGCTCTCTCCTGCTGAACAGATTCCTCCTGTTGGACTGATAGAGCTCGGACAAAGCACCACTGCCATCAACAGTCACCTCACACCTCAGCCAGCTATGCTAGGTTCAGAAAAACAACTTGAATGAGATGAAACTAGGGAAGGCGAAACACAAACTATGGCTCAAAATGTTCATGGCAATAATTACCACCATAATTTTTTTTTTTTCAAAATCCACAATTTGGCAATTATCTTTATTTTATGATATGTAGTATTCAGTAAGTATAAAAGCATTATTCCTGTTGACCCTAGGCCCAGATTATGTTATAATACATCTACCAGCTGTTAGAATTAGCTAGATGCTAAACTCAAATCATCTGCAACACACCATTGTGTACAAAACTTGCATTTTTGTAGGCATTCGTCCAACACGGTTACCCATTCTTACATTTATTGCAGATGCCTTTAATCCAGAGCAACTTACATTTATCTCATTTATACAGCTGAGCAGTTGAGGGTTAAGGGCCTTGCTCAAGGGCCCAACAGTCACAACATGGCAGTGCTGGGGTCTGAACTCATCACCTTCTAATCAGTAGGCTAATGGCTTAACCACTGAGCTCCCACTACCAAAAAAAAAAAAAGAACAAGGCTGGTATGTCCTGTTTATTTTGTGGCAACGATCATCTAATGTCTTTTAATAGAAACAAACACGTCAAGAATTAACTGAAGTCTTAACCAAACCTTTTATGACAACAATTCAAGGAGCACAAAGCTAGCACTCCAAGCTAATGTAGAACTTTCACATGAAACGGTATACTTAAATAGAAGTAATTAGCATGCAAAAATCAACCAAGTCAATGATTATATACTTAGAACGGCAAGGACCAAGATGTAGTTCCTTTTTAAAACTTTCCCAGCATTCTAGACACATTTTCAACACTTTCACTGCAACTCATTTACTCAACAACTGTTCTCCAGGCATGGCATCTGCTTAGCATGCAAAACCGTACCATACGAGTTTCCTCTGATCTTTGGGTTCGTGTTACTACAATAGCGGCAACCCACTGACACCACGAAGCAGTAACGTTTTTACAGAGCGAGTCTGTGAGTGGGTCTAAAAGACGACTCTGTGAGGAAGAAAGAGTGAAGAGTACGAGACCGGACTCCTCTCGACAGTGTGAATGGAAGCACCAGCACTTGCCCTGCTCTGGTTTCACCTAACTGGCTGGACACAGCTGCAGACGCAAAGCCCTCCAACAACTGGGGGGTCACACAAACAAGGGTGCTGCTGTGGTTTCTGAAAAGGCCCATACACACTGGGGCGGCTGAGGGAGGGGATTTTGGGACTTTGATACATAGAACTGAAGCCCTAAAGCTACCCAATGTCCATTTATGAGCAGAGATTGTGCGCTCTGAAGTGTTTCCAAGCTCAGGCCAGTGGGCACATGGAACATCTCTAAATATTTGTTCTCTAGCACACGAGGGCTCTGCTCTGATGAATATCAGTGTTGGCTATTCAGAGATAGATAGGATTTAAATGCCATGTAGATGATATCTCATTCAATGTGAAGAAAATAGCCCCATTAATGGCTCTACTCGGTTCATTAATGCTGCAGACAAATATTGTTTTGTTTTAAGTTTTTCTCAACTATGAGAAGCATTTTTTTTTAAATAAAACGCTTTATAAGAGATAAGCTATAAAAACATTGATACCTAGACCTTCAGACTGACCTCTTTCTCTCCAGCTTCATGCTTGCAACTCCCTTGCCCATCGTAAAACACATAAAACCCATATTTCCACTATGCATCTCTCTTATTGTGCCCTCTGCTTTTCAGTATGCTTATTTGATATATAAACATGTACTTTTTTCCTTTTTTAATTCTTCTTTCTTTTTTCTTTATCATTTTATTCCTTGCCCCCCTCCCTTTATTTACTGTATATTATAATACTACTATTATTATTATTATTATTATTATTATTATCCTGTGATGTACAGTGTTCTTGGGTACCCTAAAAGTCTCTTATATCTACATTACTATAAATACTATTATTTCTGGAATAAAAGGGCAACTCTAAGGGGTTCTTCAGCTTGCTCTTCTGAAAGAACCATTGTTCGATGTAGATCCCTATAACAGAGGGGTTTTTTTGTTTGTTTGTTTGTTTGTTTAAAAACCTTCAACCCCTTTCCAAAATGGAAGCATTAACAACCTAAAGCCCTTGAGAAACCCATTTTACTGACAGTTTCTCAAGGGTTATTTGGGTTGTTAATGGTTCCATTTTGTAAAGAGGTTCTACGTGAAACAAGAAAACCCTCTATGCATTATATGCACATATGCATTTATTAAATATGCACTGTAGCCGCTGATGCACCCAACACAACAATGCCCTCTCCCATCTGTTATAAAGATCTACACACATTACAGGATTCATTCAGGAATGCTAATTTGAAGCCCAGTGTCAAGTTCGGTCCAGTCAAAACATTTTCATATTCCACTTTCTATTTTAGCATAGAACTCAAACAGGCAAAAGGCCTGAAAAACAGACACCAGATCTTTATTTATATTCACAAAACTATAAACTATAAAACTAGAAGCTCTGGGTTAAATGAGCTGTTGAATTCTGGAATCTGATTGATAAGGTGTAGATTTTCGAATAATCTCTGACAATAGTGTGGCTGAAATTCAAATCACAGGTTTTTATTAATGTACTCGTTCTAAGTCATTGTCATTTCTATAGTAACTGCTCATGCACAGAGATTTCCACATTAACCTAAGGCTATTAATAAATTGATTGTTAAAAAGTGTTGCAAAGACAAACCTATAATTGTTGACATGATGTGGTGAAGCTTTTGGTAAGAAGACATTCATTTAACATTTGTGGAAGGAGTCTCCAGTGTCTTGGTAAAGGACAAAGGCCCTTTCCAGTTTCTCAGTAACAAGATAAGATGGGTTTTTTTTTGTCATATTAGCTTCATGAGAGCAAAAAAAGAGACACATTTAAGGGAATTAGTGTTTATATCTGTTACAACATGAGTGATAACAGACACTAGCTTGTTTTGGAAATGTTCCACAACTTTAAATAAAACTAATGTAAAATCTCATACATTAGAATTGTAATCATTGCAAAATTGCTGTGGTATAAGTGGACTAACAGACTTGAGGTTGTGCTGTTATTGGAAAATAATCAACTTTAGCATCGTAACAGTTACTCTACTTCAAGTCAGGTCACATCACATCGCCCCATCGTTGATTATTTCACTACAACAGCATGTCTCAAACACAGCTGACAGAGAAGGAAAGTCCACATTTCACCTGCTGTACTTAGCTGATCATCAGCACCTTCTATATAACTATATACTATATACTGAGTCGAGATTCCATCACATACTTGTGTACTTCAGTAGCCAACCCCCACCGTTTTTGATCAAGGGCAAGTGAGAGAGTTGATTAGAAAGTTTACACGTCACTCCAGTGGGAATCTGTCCAATCTGTTATGAGTAAAACAACAGTGTAAAAGGTCCTGCTAAACATTTGTTCGGCATGTTGGTAACAGAAGCAGGTGTAACCCTGAGCCACATTTCTGCTCCAAAAAATTCACCCAGAATAATTAGTTTTCAAGTCACAGGCTGCTCTCTGCCTGAGCTTTTCAGAGCATGCAGGCAGTGAAGGAGGGGTTGTCCATGGGCAAAGCCACTCAGGGGGCTAATTAAAAACTCAACAGAATGCTGCATTAAACTGCTCTCTCCAAACTGTCCTCAGTTCTTTTTATGGGGACAGGTGGTGCCTTGGGCATGTGTCATGAGATGGGATTTTTTCCCTCCAATGTCATCAAATGTTCCTATTTTGGAGCTGCTTGAATCATTTGAAACTTTCGGTTGTTAATTTTGGGTTTACAACCAACAGCTACAGCTACAATCAGCCCACCTCAACAGTGCTCCAAAAGATCATTTCATATGAAGTCTGCGCTATGCTCTATGCTTCCGCTCTGAAGTCAGTCTCAAATTTCATGTGCATGTGCTTTATCGATGCCAGCATAAGGATATGGTTTTACCAAATGTTATGGCTCACAGGCGTCTGCTCAGCCCTAGACTGAGGGAATCCAGGGCCTCCAGACAAGTGTAAGCTGGAGACAGTATTTTAGCTGATGTGAGTGGATCTGGAAATGAGTGTTGTGTCTACCAGACCCATATACAGCATGTCTTCTACCCTTAAGAGCCCTAGAAGAGCCTGGGGAGGAAATAAAGGATTACCCACTTTACATGTAAGTGGCTTCTGACACAATCATGAGGGCAGAAGCGAGGGATTGTTTCTTCTCACCACAAGTAATACAGTTCTATTAGTTTGCCAGGGTGACGTCTGTAATACAATATTTGTGAGGCTCCTCCAAAACGGTTACATTCGGACCGTGACTAATATTGCAGTGAATCATGATGTCTGCGTAACAGTTGGTTACAATCTCGGATTAATATTCGATTTACAGAACACTAAACAGCATGATATTGTATTAGAGTCAACATGAAGTTGTTATCATAGCAGCCCATTTTATCTATTTTTGTTGCACACTTTGGTTGGCTTTATTTGTAAGACAATTCAAAGATGAAATGATGTTGTTGTTCTTTCAGCTGCTCCTGTTAGGGGTCGCCACAGCGGGTCATTGGGTCGCATGTTACACTGGATGCCCTACCTGTTGCAACCCTCCCATTTTACCCCGGCATGGGACCGGCACAGAGAATACACTCGCAGTGGCTGGGTCAGTTCCCTGCTCGGGAATCAATCCCGGGCTTAAGCGATGAGAGCGCCGGATCCTTAGCCGCTAGACTACCAGGGACCCACAAAGATGAAATGATAACATCCGATAACATACTCTGGAAGCATTAAACATTTTTCTAGACACACATAGAGAAACCACTAAATTAATGACCAATGAAATGGTTCTCGGTGGCTCTTGGATAGGACAAAACAGAGAAAGGATAAGGGTCAGAACTTAATTCACGTTTGTTAATTGAATAGGGCTTATGAGTGAGTTGTTCACAAGTGACCACTATGATTTCCTCTAACACGTTTCATTAAAGCATTAAGACCATCGTCAGAAGTAAAGATATATAAGCTATTTTAGTACTTGGAGTGCTATTTAAAGCAAAGGACAGGCTGTTGTTTGTTAAGAACATGGATTATATAATCCATAATCATAACACAAGATGGTCAGGTCTGTCTACGTCTGAAATATTAACTAGTCGTAAACTGAAGATTCTGATCGTCTTTTTCAAAATATTTGAATGAATATTTGCATGGCTTTGGTCTGAAGAACGGTTTGAGCGGATTCAGTTTATTTTTAAGCCGTTGTGTTGGGACAGTCAAGGACAGCACCGAGGAAGTAATTCAGACTTTCCCTGTGAGAGTACTGGAGCGTGGTTTAATGGCTTAAATACAGACTAAAGCTCTTCTCCATAACATCAGTGAAGCATCAAACCACCAAAGCCCAAACTTGGTAACCAAAGTTTTTATCCAGTGAGAGAATCAGGGCAGAGCTCTGCATTTCTATGGCACTGGAGGTTGCTGATTTCCCACACCGTTCACTAAAGCAGCCAGTAAATGCAGCAATGTGTGCCTGTCAGTCAGACCACATCTCTGTGAGCCGTTCCCACTGAGCACTCCCAAAACACATCTGTCTTTGTGAAGTTAAAGAGACAACAAAATTCTGCTGATTTTTCAGATTCAAAAGTGTGGGTTAATGAAGTGAAACCGCTTGAGTTGACCTGCACTACTTTCCACACTATTCAGAGATCACAGCTGTCCATAATCACTCGATATAACCACACACATCTTACAATTGCAAGTCTCTATCTGACAATTCTGTGATCTTAAGATATTGAGCCATAAAGTTTGCCCAAACATATTTTTATATATAAAAATAAATTTTTCATATATCAAAATTTGTTACATTATGTATAAAGACTTCTTTCCTGCCATCAAAGTATGAAATCACTGTCTTACTGGATAAGACAGTGGATAAATAACTTCTGATTTCCACTTGTTTATGATGCATAAGCAGTGACTGTGCTTCATGAGAAGCTGAGAGAAGCGATTTGTGTAGAATTCCTCAGATTTAAAACAAGAAACAAACAAAATTAAACCATTTGCAATGGTTTGGTGTATTTTTATCTTCCAGAAGATGGTAAACTGAAGCTCCATGATGGGAAGCCCTTTAATTATACCATGGAATAATTCTGTTTTTATTGCAACCATCTGGAGCAACTTACCACTCCCAAAAACAAAGATCATACTACAATAATAAAACGCCACTGGTCAAGATATTACAACAAAAACACAACATCCTATCATCATCAACATTTTTAATGAAGTTGAAAAACAGAAAGCAGTTGTTAGCAATTGTATATGGAGTCATATTCAACACATATGTTTCATTGCATTTATCTTTTTATGATGATATTATAGTGCAGTTGCCCAAATTCCTTTGCAAGCATCCTTCTATCCATCCTGTCAGCAAAATGCCTAGTCTCAGATTGAATACAAATCTATATAAAAAAAAAATCAGTCAAGCAATCCTGTACTCAACACAAACCAGTGGAGCTTTTCAACAAAGTAGATATAAAACCTGCTGATCCAAGCTGAGAGTAAGCAGAACGAGACGATTAAAGAACCCAGTGACTGCTGATGAAAGATCATGTTCCCACAGTTTAGTGCACTTGTTTAAATACACTTGGTTAGAAAATTGCACCACTTTTGTTTCCAAAAATGTGCATGCTTAAAACAACCGTATGATGACTTACTCATGGCTGGATTGTAAGTATGATTGCACTGATCAGTTGACATCCACACCCATCATATATCTTAAATGCAACATGGGCATACTCTCAGGCTTTCTCCCTTCCATCTCACACTCAAGAGTGCATGATATATAATTAAACAGCATGAGCTTTCGCCCGTGGACAGACAGTCCGCTTCTCCATTCAAACCAGTCACATGACTGTGGATCCCACAGAGAGACAAAGCGCACCACAGCAGGAACTCTTCACTTCTAGTGCCAAGCCCTAAGGACACTGGCAACACTTCCTGCATGTAAACACTTCTGCCCTACAGGACTGACTGGCATTGCTAAACTCACTGATGTGTCACACATCTTATCTGTTAATTCTATAGTATTTATCTGGGCTGTGACAAGGTGCAGGACAGGACATTTCTGAATGTAAACTAGTAATAAGCTTCACTAGAGGAAAAAAGCAGTACGGTATAAAAAAAATTATAACAAGAAAATTATTTAGTGCAGTAGTGAAATATCGTCATGATAAATATTTTTGTTCACAAAACTCCACCAGTGCATTGGTCGATATACAGAAATTAAAATGAAATTTTGGTTAACCTTAGTGAAAACCATTTCAACGATTTCAACTGAGAATCACAGCATGTGATGAAACTGATAAAATTTGTAAAGGTTCCTGGAAAAACGTTTAAGGATTCTTCAGGTGATCTCATTGGTGCAGACCTTAAGATGCCTCCAAGAACTTTATTGTAAACATTAAACTTTCTATAATAATAATAATAAGAAGAAGAAGAAGAAGAAGAAGAAACCCTGAGGTTTTCCAGTGGAATCTTTATTGTTTATAGTCTGGAAGATTAGGCCTACTTCATGTTTCACGAATATATAATAATATAGTTATAATAATAACATCAAGGCTAGATGACTTTTGATGTAAACGATTAGCTGTTTTAAAATTTGCATTTTACTTTATGCATAAAAGTGTCATAACTTGATTTTAAATGTATTTAAATAGTTCCCAAAAGTAACTGAAGAAATGTAGAGCAAACAACAATTTTCTTTCATGCACAATATTTAATCATGCAAATCACGGAAATTGATTATTAATCTTTAAATCAAGCAACCTAATGAACATACGCCACATTGAAATATTTAAAAAAAAAAAAAAAAAAAAATCATTAGCAAATAAAACACATGTAGATTAATAACCAAGTGAGATCTCACCAGTTCTATGCAAAAGTACCAGCTCGGTCCAAACTCATGGATCCGCTTTGAGGCGCGCGCACTCGGATTAAAGTTTCTAAGATGAAAGTTTCCTCAAATTAGATGCTCGGTATTACACGAAACTGGAGATACTTCCACAGACAGACACTAAAGCTGAAAGGAAACCGCGAGTTTCGTCAGGTGCTGAGACATGGACGTGTTTGCAGAAGTAGAAACACAAGTCCTGAGAGCGTCTCCTAACTTGTGACGGGACAGAGCGCGTGAGGTGCAGTGTGGCGCTCGAGCTCAGGGCTCAGAGCTCAGCCTCACAGCAGCACTGCTAATTAGCATAGCAATGGAGAGGAGGAGAACTGCTTAAACCTGGAGAACTGAGGGGAGAAAAGCCACTTTAAGGGCTCATGTTCTCCAACTTTTCACACAGGCTATATTCAACCGCAACTGAACCACTTTTTCACTGCCTAGCCACATTATCTAGCCACATTTATCAACATTGTCTAACCGCACTGTATGTCGTTTAACGTACGAAATATGTTTAATCATCTTTATAATACCTGTAAAGTTAACTCTTTTATATGCTTTTACATTTTTTTATTACTATTTACAGGCCTTTTACAAATCACCATCACTGAATCTGTAACTGTGCTTCCAAGTCGTTTGATAGAAAATAAAGAGAAATGGCGCCACCTAGTGTTCAATTAGCCTAGTCTTCATTTTAAGCTGGATTTTGGTGTGTCAAACATGAAGTTAGTATAACCACATTTTAGAGTGTACTATCACTGAACTCTTAACACAGATTTCCTAAAAACAAAAACTGTTAAGTACTGAAATAATAAGAAGAATTATTTTGTTGTACTGGGTGGTGGAGTGGGTATTGTAGTAGGGTGGTAGGTTTGATCCTGGGTGCTGGTCATTGTGTGGAGTTTTGCTTGTTTTCTTCATGTTTGCGGGGGTTTACTACAGGTTCTCTGGTTTCCTCCCTTCTCACAAAAAACAATGCCAGTAGGTGGATTGGCTAAGATAAGTTGCACATATGAATGTGTGTGTGTGTGTGTGTGTGTGTGTGTATGTGCATGGTGCCTTGCGATGGACTGGTGTCCCATTCAGGGTGTATTCACGCCCAGTGTTCCTGGGATCCACCTCCACCCTGATAAGGATAAAGTGTGTGAGTGAGTGAGTGAGTGAGTGAGTGAGTGAGTAAGAGCTTCTTGGGCTGTCTCATACATCCCTGGGCCTAGTGGACCTCTGTTTGGTAAGTGTTGCAAGCTTGTCCTGTTCCCCAACATTTCCATTGCCTAAAACTGAAGCCTACTTCAAGATTACTAGAGTTTAGATGTAGTATCAGTTCCTCATCCTGACACACTTCTACTGCTATGGTTCCTCTCATCATCCTGACCTGCAAGATTCATCATGGTAATTCTTCTCCTTGGAGCATTAGCACTTGTGACTTACCTTCTGCTGTTTATGAACATGTCTCAGCTTTTTTCAGTGGATAATCTCACCTGAATACTATTGACTTGTACCTAAAATCTTCCACTGTCATCTTAAATCTATGATGCTCATACTAAACATTCTTTCAACACACTTGTGACTTTATAGTACACAATTGTAGAATAGTTGTGATGATTTATAATCACACTATCTGGTGTCACCCAGAAGAGGATGGGTTCCCTTGTAACTCTGGTTCCTCTCAAGGTTTCGTCCTCATGTTTTCTCAGGAAGTTTTTCTTTGTCACTGTCGCCTCTGGCTTGCTCATTAGGGATCTAAATATAAATGTACATTTCTTTAAAGCTGCATTGCTACAATGCCTTTTGGCAAAAGCGCTATA